GTCTTTTTTTAAAGAAAGTCATTGCATCTTCTGAAAGGGGGCAACATTATGTACAGAATAGTAATTGTGTTCTTACAAGATACACTTAATTGTCCAGTGTGAATATGTATCAGAGCTGGATGTAGTCATAGCATTGTGTGGCATATAGTGTATCTATCACACAGTTCTTTGATGTACCCCTGTTTCCTTTGTTCGCCTTAGTAATAACCTGATGGTAGGCTGTGCAGTTCCTAATGGAGGAACTGGGTGGAAATTTCATTAGTGCGTGTATCTGTTCATTGTGTAGCATCTCCAATTTGCATGTATATAAAAGAGCAGCTGGAAAACATGCAACACTAGAATATCTAGAAGCTCTTGTGATGCCTCCTTCTATTCTATCAGGGGCCACTTTGGCTAGTTTCACTCCACAGGCTTTCATTGGGGCTGGAATCCTTCTCTGCCACTTTGGGCAGAATTTTCTTCTTGTTCCAACGTCTTTGAGAATTGGCCACCCTCCTTACTTAATTACACCTTGTTAATTACTTAGTTAATTACACAAGGACCCTCCTCTGCTGGGCCCACCTCTGCCTGCTTCTATGCTTGATTCCCGCTCTTGAATGATGTCATCATTTTCATGGCTTGCCTCTAGCTCTTCCTAAGTTTATTCTTACCTTTCTTTTGGTGAGGACTAGTAAATGTTGCACTAAGTAGAGAAGGATTGTCCGGCTCACTTCACACCTTGTGGAAGCAGCTCTTCTTGCTGACCCAGCACTATGACACTTCAGTTGTATACAATGTTGTCCATCATAATTATTCTGTCTCTTCTAGTATTTGACTCAGTGCTTACACCTGTGAAATGGAACTTAACGGTATATATTGATAACTTTTTTCCATCTTGCCACATACATTTTGAATTCTGATGTTTGACTGCATGCCTGGCAGTGCATCCGCAGTCAAACAGAATTCAAAATGTATGGGGTCAGCAGCATCGGAGCTCTACCATCAGAATTATTACTTATAATTCATAGATAGTATGAGGCCTGCAACCTGACGGTGCCCAGCAGTTAGAAATGCCTTCTCCTAACAGGTCCATGTCCCATGCCTCATCTAGTCTACCGTGACCCTGCAGTAAGAGTCCAAAATCGTATTTTCCTCAGAGTGCTAACGCTGAGAACCCTCACTCCCGCTGACAGTTGTATTCTAGAGACTCATACAGAACACACAGAGCCTATGACTGTGAACGCCATGCTAAATTCAGAGCACTAGATCTTGGCCTATCAGAAGGAACCCTTCACCAGGGTCGCCTCTCTACCAGATGAACATTTTCAACCACAGCACAAAGCTGCATGCCCTAATGAATTCAGATAGCGAGGCAGTACGCACTCCAGCAGGGTTGTAATTGACACAGAGGTGGAAAACTGAAACAGGAAGGCCAGCGTGTCCTTTGGGGAGCTGGCATATAGCACTGGCCCCACAGTGCTTTGGGCTCCCAGCCAAATGAAAAGTGCCCAGCAGCACCGCCACCACGCTAGAGCTAAGAGCAGGGACCCTTCCCTGGGCTGTCAGGACCTGTGAGCCATGCCACTGTCACTGCATTTGGTTTTTAGGAAGCAAGATACTCAGCTGTTTTCTGATTTTTGAAGGGATCCAGGAGTCATACAGGGCTAAGAAACTTTGTTTGCTAGATGGACAATAATCCAACTTTCAAAGCTGATCAGTTAGGCATTAATACAACTAAAAGGCCCAGCAGAAGCAGAACTAACATTTATTAAATGCTTGCATGTCGCAAACTCACGGAGACACCACTAATACAATTATCCTTTAAGGCACATAGAGGAGGTGTTCAAACCCAGATCTCACTCGAAAGCTTGCCCCTTATGGTATCACATCACCTCTCTAAAGAAGGAAATTGACTAACTATTGAAGATTAATCAAAACTAAAGATAAGCAAATTAAATGATGGGAAATATGATTTGATTAAAAAATGTAGTATGTGTGTATATATACATATGTGTCTATGTGTGTGTTTATTTAAGAGCTAATCTGTTGAGTAAAGTTGGGTGGTTTAGACCAGACAGGGATCTCAAGCATGTGGCATGCACCAGGATACATCTTCAAGAAGGATCTTGGATTTTCTTGGGCAAAAGCTTGTCACGAAACTGAAGAAGCTGTAAATAGAACAGTTGTAAGACCCCGCTTCACTGTTCAGACTCTCGTGGAATGAGCTCATGTGTTTATGAACCAAAAATTTGGTTGAACTAATTTAATTTCTCTTTTGCATCTCTGTGCTAATTAATGACAGTCATTTCACTTGTGCATGTATTAAATTAAGTAAATTCTTCTATATTGCATTCTACCTCTTAAGTATTATTTTCTTATAAGCCTTAGCAGATTTAAGGAATTATACTCCCACCTTTTGAGTGGGGGTAATGTATAACCCCCCAGTGCCCCTTGCCTTATAACTGTAAATCCTGAACTACATAGGGGTCATTGCCTTATGGTAAATATTAGTCAAGAAATTGCAATGAACATTGTACAAAAGTGCTCACAAATTTTTGGAGTCTTCTCTATCCAACCCTCCCCCCTTTTTTTTGGTCACTCCAAACAATGTGATCATCTATTTGGAGCACTCTGTTTGTGGAGGCTGAGCAGGATTAATTCCTGTCCTGGTGTTGCAGTGTAAACAGCTTTTTGCCTGTCTTTTGTCATTAATGATCATTCTGTAGATGTAGCCAGTGCATTGTAAGCCAATCTGTCAAGGCAAATAAACAATTCACCTTGTTAAAATTCCCTAAATCTTGCATTAATAAAACCAAAGTAACCCTCTGAACACTCAAGAGATGTCTTCCTCCATACTGAAGTGATGGATGACATGTCTAAAGATCCTGGAAATTAAGTAGTTCAGGTCATTAAAAGTGTCCCACACTTGTTATTGATTTAATTTATTTTAAAAGGTGGGGGTGGAGATAAGAATGTCCCCCTCCCCATTTTTTTAATCTGAAAGCTACTACTTGTACACATAATTAAAACTATTGCCTGGGTGAATAGCTCTGTACTTGTTACAACATTAAGCTTATTATTCAAATAGACATTATATCATCTTAAACAGGTATCTAGAAACAAGCAAATAATCGTCGTCACTTGTGTTATGGCAAAAATTCCTTCAACCCTCATTTAAGTGCCCAATTCTGGACACTGAAGTAATGACCTTAAGGATACTCATAAAATTCCCTTGGGTAAATAAAACTTTACATGAAGGTCAAATGATTTCAAGGAAATTAATTAAAATAGTAATGGAATTATGGCTTAGAATAGAGGAGTTTTTTTAATTTTCTTAAATTTTCATTGTTCCACTTTGATAATCAAGAGTAAATATTTTGGATGGATGGATGGATGGATGCATGCATGCATGCATGGATGCATGGATGCATGGGTGGATGGATGCATGGGTGGGTGAATGGGAAAACATTTATTGAGTAATAGTGGTTTTTAATCCCTTATCTCTGTTCTAAGGCAAGTATAAGTTTTTGTAATGTATGTGTGTTACTTGTTTGTCTCTAATCTTTTCCATAATCCCACATTTCACTCAACCACGGCTCTTCAGCACCACATGCCAGTGTCTAACATTATAATTGCCCAGTAAATAGTTGTTTAATAAATAAAGTATAACTTCAAGCACTTTCTTCTCTTTTTTTCTTCTTTAAGCATCTGTGGGTTGAATGGGCCCTAAAGGAGATGGGAAAGCCCCAGAGGGGTTGGCTCTCCAGATGACCCCTCTCCAAGGACTGGACAGCAGGCAGCTTGAGCACTAGTGTAATAAAGGGGGCATCCTGCTGGGACTGTAGCCTAGCCATCATTCATTCCGTTTATAAATCCTGAACAGGTAACAGTTTCTCAAAATTGCAAGGAATGGGGTAGGGTATGCCTGTTACAACAAAAAGCGATACTTTATAGGAATTGTGTCTACGTAAGATGCACATAATTTTACCTTATTTGTGTTATTCATTTTACATAACTGTTCTTGATCAGTTATGTGAATATTTCACATTCAGTTCTCACTCTTCTTGATATAACTTGTGCTTATTGGGAAAAGAAAAGTCATGGTCAATTATAAAAAGAGCCTGGAGAATAGTTGTATTAATTTTACAGAGATATTTTGTACTATTTGATGCTTTCACTCCCGATCTTTGTGAAAAATGGGAGGAAGGGGCAAATATCTAATCCGTTCACACGTCTGGCAGACTCTTTTAAAAATAAATACATGTGAAAATGCGCTCTCTAGTTTCCCATTAGATTTCTCCTTGAAATTACATAGTTTGGATGTCTGAGATCTGACATGGTTATGCTGTTATGCTAGCCATTTAGCAGACTCCCTAAATGGAAGAACTCTATAGATTTTTTCTCAGTATATACACTGATTTACACTTAGTGGTAAAGTTGTTACTGACCCTTTAAGTGGAGCTGTCCAAATAGCAATAAATGTTAGTTGATCCTAATGCCGAAACAGTGATAGCTAAGGAGTCTTGACTCAGTCTTCCAGTTAGAAAAGCCATTTATAGTATTTTCTAAACAAGAGTGGAGACACTGTGAGTGTGTGTATAATAGTATATATATGCACATACACATATATAAATACATATTTATATATAAAATATATCACCCAGTAGAGAAACTTTGATGCACACATCATACTAGTATTACTGAAATTTCCAGACTTTTGAAACATTCAGCCTGGATTAGATCCCCATGAAAGCAAGTGCCGAGTCTCCCTTATTCCCCCATATTGTCTACGAGTCGGCATCTGAAGTATGGCAGACACCCCATTCATGCCGGTTGAAGGAAAAAATGGGTAAAATGCAGAGCTTGAATTCTTGGTGGATGAAGTGGAGACTACTCCGGGCAGATGTGAGGAATGATGGTGGTGAGAAGTTTGATGGATAGTTATGGCTTTTTGAAATAGTTGATTTGATGGATTGCCTAATACACACTTCATTCTCTGTTTCTGTTTTCTGCTCCCACAGGCTGTCATCTTAGAAAATGAAGAACTCCCCAAACTGTTTCTTGACTTCCTAAACGTGAGACATTTGCCCTCCCTCCCAAAGGCAGAGAGCTGTGGGTAAGAATTTTTGTTTACTAACTGGACAAGAATAATTGTTTACTAACTGGACATGTATTTTAAGGTCCTCCCCAGTCACTTACAGGCAAACCAGGGGCCCAAAGTGGTGGTGCAGAAGGGCCAGTTAGCTGGCCACACCCCTTCCTTGGCCTTGGGACAGCTCTCGCTCGCCCCCTGCTTGTAGCCAAGGGAATTCCTCCAAAGTCCTCATCCCCCTATTGTGGCCAAACTCGGTGATGTGTGTTGGAGTTAAGGAAGTGACTTTTTTTTAATATATGTATTTTATTTTATATATTTTTACATCATTTTTCATTTCTGCACAATGTATGCTTTTTCTTCTTGGTTATGATCCCCATACAATTCCCACCCCCCTTATTTTGACTGTACTCTATACCATGGAGTACTGTTACATGATAGAAATTATAAATCTGGATAACCTGTTTAGGTACTTTATTTATGGATACCCAAGCACAGTGCGTATTCCCTTGGCACATATATTCATATAATTTTAAAGCCATCAGTGACCTTACAGATAATTTTACCCAACTCCCTTCATTTTATATTTGAGAAAACTGAGACACGGGAATCAAGTGCCTTTCCCGCGATCTCTCGGCTTGTAGCTGGCAAAGCTTATATCTTCCAGCATAAGCGCTCTTTCCCCACGCCTTCTGCCTTCTCCCTCAGGAACCCGAGTGCAGGCTGCAGATCCTAATCCCTGTCTAGCAAGGAACCAGACAATGGATGTTATCAGCAATTGGGAAAAGTTCTTCTTAAGAATTAACTATGAAACTAGCCACTTAGCGAGCTCCGGGCAGCTGACCTGCAGTTAAGCCAGCCTGGGAAAGCAACATCCCTTAAACAGTAAATCCATTTACAAATCACACACTGCAAATCCAGACAGGGGTGACCAACTGAAGGACCCACACTATAACAAGATTTAGGAGCTTAACACACCCGAAGTCATGTTGAAGCCCAGCCACCTGCTGGGGAGAGCCTGGGAATACCTGTCACAGCTGCATCCCCAGCAGAGTTCCCTCAGTTCTACTTCCCACTCACCCCAGAGCAAGAATTGTACATCCCGCTAACCAAAAAAAAGCATTGTCATTGTGTTCTGTTCCAACTTGTGTGCACTTGCTTCAAGTTTGCATTTCGTATGTGGTGATGCTTTATAAGAGATTTGGGGTGAGGGACTCCCCTGGTGGCGCACGCGGTTGAGTGCCAGGCTTTGAAGCTGTCGGCAGCCTCTGCAGTGCCAGTTCGATCCCATCCGGTGGCGAAGGTCCCACATGGCACGGCAGATCTCTCCTGTCCCGCCCGCTGCTCCCTTCAGCAGTGTATTTCCTTAGTCTGCCTGTTCTGTTCCCCACTCTGTCTCTGGTGAATCCTCTCACCTTCCCATGCATCTGGCCTGTACCCGGGTTCTTGTGTAAATGAATAAATAAATCTTTAAAAAAAGAGAGAGAGATTTGGGGTGATAGTGAGGGAATGCTTCCCTCCATTACATAAGCCCCAGTGTCAAACAGTACGATTGTCAAGTGATCTTCAGAAAAATTGAAATTCGAGAATATTAAGTCTTCAGATTCCTTAGAATGAGGTGTCGGCCATGTGGCCCCGGGAAAGTACCTCATTTTCACTTCAGAACATCTCCCAGCTGAGAGCTCTGAGGATGCTGGCTATTCGCCCCTTTGTTGCCATAAACACTGGCCCGACTAACGGGATCCTTTTCTTTCTTTAAAAAAATTTTCAGATCTTTTGATGAGACCGAATCTGAAGAGTCAAGGTAAGACTAATACTAGTCTATCGGGAGTTTCTCAGACCAAGGATAGGGCTGTGGTTTTGCTTATTATTTAGTTACCGTGGTGTAAATGTTTTCTTGAAAATCTCCGCTAGGAGATTGATTTTGAGATAATAAATATTTGATAGGCAGTTACAGAAGTTACATTTAGGAAGGAACAAGGAATAACCCTACCTTGTTTCACACACCCTCTAAGAACACTGTTTTATCAATAATCATACTACAAGCGTTAAAAAAAAAACAAAAAAAAACTTTTCAGCAATGATTTATTGTCCCGATTGTCTATCTCTTTCAAATTCCACAAAGGAATGTTTGGAAGATGAGCCCCGTGCGGGCTCCTTCCCTTTAAATCTGTTTGCTATTACTCACCCGGACCGTGAGATACATAAACCTCGAGGCAGCCCCGCACACCGCAGTCTGATCCCCTCAAAGCTAGTTTGTAGTGTTTTCTGTTTACCGTCGTCCCCTGATGCTGACATGCCTGTTCTTGACCTTTCCAGCAAACTGTCCCACCAGCCGGTGCTGCTGTTCCTCAGGGACCCATACGTCTTGCCTGCAGCCAGCGGTAATCAAGCCTGTCATCTGCTAACAGCTCTTTACTGATCTGACCCTGTGCCGCATAAACCACGTTTTTAATACAGGTCTAACAGAGTGACATTGGTCCAGGGCTTAATAATCTGCCAATAAACCAGTGCTCCTGGTGTAAGAGACATTTAGAATTTTAATTGGGGCAGGCCTTTCAGGAAGGAAAGGTAATTTTTCTTTCTCTCTTACCAGGCTCTTTTGAATTAGAATAATAAGGGGGAAAGGTATTTTTTGTCTTTTTGGAAGTGGCCTTATTTTGGCCGCCACTGATTTTTATCCAGGGGTTCGGATGTGCATCTAAGGTTCTGGTCCTTTCTTAAAATGCTTCTACCCGAAAGTTGTGTGTTTCCATGACGTGTGTCTCTGCTTTTCCCTTAAGATGGCAGCATCTTTGTTGGTCAAATATATGTATTTTCTGAGTTGTATACTGAAATGTAATTAATGTATAAGTGGAATCAATATTTTATCCTGAGTCCTTTTCTTTGTGCCAAGAAATTCAGATTACTCAGCATCCCTCTTGAAGTGGTCTGCTTTGCAGTTCTTTCTGAGCTCATTTCAGATATTATCTCATTTAATTTTCTGAGTAACCATAGGAAGTAGGCAGGGCAGGGATCAGCATTGGGTGATGAGAAAAGAAACTCCCAGTTTCACATGCCTGGTGGGGGGACCCTGGTTTCCTAACTTCTCCTGTGTTGTTTGTGTGTTGTGCATTTTCAGCCTTTGTTTCTGAGAGTAACTAAATGGCACAGCTATTAAATAGCAATCGCTGCATTATCTGTCCGTTATGACAGTAAACCTCATCACCAGCATGAGAAAGGGCTCTTCTCAGGTCACCCACTTAGCTGCCAGTTTAAAGAAGGGGGGTCCAGAATACAGCCCTGCTCTGCTGAGGGGCCATCCCTGGTGCCCAGAGAGAGCTACCTTTGCTACAGAAGAGTATTTTTCTATAAAATCACTTCAGTGAGGAATTACTGCCTTTCTTTAGCATTTGCTTCCCTTGTTAATATGAATTATAAATTTATAGTAAATTATATGGAATATAGAAAACATAAATCATAAAAGTATAGTATAGCATTATATTTATTTATTAAATTTTTCTAGAGGCATGTTTTATTTATTTATTTGTTTGTTTTGTTTATACAAGCACTGGGTACAGTCAGAAGCGCGGGAGGGTGAGAGAATTCACCAGAGCCAGAGCGGGGAGCAGAGCAGGCAGAAGGACCGAAGTACACTGCTCAGGGGAGCAGCAGGCAGCAGGAGAGGTCTGCGTGCCATGTGGGACCCTCCTCCGGTGGCCGGGCAGCAGCCGGGGATTGAACCGGTGCCGCAGAGGCTGCGGGCAGCTTCGCAACCCAGCGCTCAACCGCTGCGCCACCAGGGAGGCCCTAGTATAGCATTATAAATGCTATATTTAACAGTCATTCATAATGTAACCAAGTGCAGAGTAAATGTTCAGTGCTTTATAAAGTATTCTTATTCTCTTTTAAAAAAATGGACCCTCCCTGGTGGCGCAGTGGGTTGAGCACAGCGCTTTAAAAGCTGTCCACAGCCTCTGCAGCGTGGGTTTGATTCCCGGCCATCCAGGGAGCTACCCACATGGCACAGCAGACCTCTCCTGTCTTGCCTGCTGCTCCCCTCAGAAGTGCTTTCGGTCCGTCTGCCTGTTCTGCTCCCCACTCTCTCTCTGGTGAATCCTCTCACCGTCCTGCGCCTCTGGCCTGTATCCCAGCTATTGTATAAATAAAAAAAAAAAAAAAGAAAAGAAATCTTAAAAAAAAATAAAATAAAAAATGGCCCCACAAACACTTTTTTCAGGTACTGTTTCTGGAAATGCGTGCAGAAGTGTGCAGAGCAGGATGATCTACCATATACCAGAATAGCCAGGATTCTTTTTGGAAGAGGGCGCATATTTTATGATCCTTAAATCCAATGCCTTCTACTTACTGAAAACCTTGTACTATGCACATGTTTTGACAACGAAGAATAGGAGGAATTTTCTGAGAAAGAACATCCAGGACCAATGTCTGGACCCAGAAAAAATAGGAAGTATGAGTCACTGGTAGAATGTAGTGTAGACAAATGATTTTCAGAAAAAAGAGGGTTCTTGTTGGAGAGTGAATGCAAGTCACAGGTTTGAAGGTCAGGATGGAGGCAGGTTGAGTGATAACCCCAAGGTCTGTTTTCTAGGACTATTGGCCAGCTCAGTTTGAATAATCAGATTCCTTTTGTTCTAGAAGTCATAGGCTAGTGGTGTATTCTTGCACATCGTTAACATTAAAGATAAATTTTACTTGTAACGTAATTTTACGGTGTTACCCCTCATAACAAAATGTGGAGGTGACTATTCCAGAGGATGGTGAGTGTGAAAATGCCTTCACAGACACACTGACCTCCACAAAATCAAAGCAGAGTCTGTCTTTACAGATCTGGCGGGTGTCCTCTCCTAAAACATTAGTAAGCGAGCACTGTTCTCTTAGCATATGCAATTAGGCCTTTGATTTTTCTGGGAAAAATACTAAGCAACTCCACCAGGGCCTACAGCAGCTGCCATGTAGCTAAACTGTGGGCATCTTTGAGGCCTGATGCCCTTGGCCTCTCCTCAGCTGTAGGCACACTGACCACTTTCTTCTCCTTCAAACCCTGTCTTCCCTTGGTTTCCCCACTTTCTCCTTTTCCCCCAGCCCCCAGCAGCTCACCTGACGGCCATCGTGGACCCTGCTTCTTCTCATGACTTCCCTTTGGAATACCCTCCTTGCTGCGGGACTTGGCCTGCGTGTACCTGGGAACCACAGCAGCATGTCCATTCCCAACCCTCTCCAGCAAGAACCAAACTTTTCTTTTTTCAAAAAAAAATTTTATTGTGGCAACCTTGGCTTGTGTTGTTGGTATTTTGGAAGATACCCTCCCCCTTTAGGTGTAGTCGCCTTAATGCACCCACCACCAGCTCACTCTGAGTCGCCCACCAGACACAGGGCCAGGGCGCTAGGGACGGCCCTTCCCCAGCTCCAAGCTCCTTCCATGGTGGGCAGAACCGTCCATGGCCTGGGCCTGCCCGGGTCCCCGCAGAAGCCCCGCATGCCTCCTGCAGCCACACCGGAGTCTCTCGTGGCCTCAGTGACTGAGTCCTTTTCCCTCAGGGCCTGCTGCTCCTGCCTCCTGGACCCCTCTCCCGCAGCACGCCCACCGCGCGCCCTCGCATCTGTGCTGGCTCGCCCTCCCCAGGGGCGTCCTGCGCCCCGCCACCCCGATCCCTTGACTTTTTAATGGTTCACAGTACTTGTTTATAAAAGAAATGAACAACAACAGAAACAGCAACAAAACCGATCCTAAATCACACTCTTTCTCATCAGTTCTCCATGGGAAACAAAGGCCGGGTCCGCTTTATGAGTCCTTCAAGCAAAAAGGGACATCGTCGTAAATCCTACACAGGATGAAGCCAAAATTCAAAGTTTACAGTGGAGTGGAACAGATGAGGGGGAAAAAAGAATCCTCATGACGTCATCCTTAGTCGCGGGATGTGGACCTTGTTACAAAATATGTTCATTCCACTGACTTTTATCTTCTTGTTTGCTTCCCTTACAGCAGTGATCACGGACTTTTTCTGTCTTGCTTTCTCTCTCTCTTCTCTTTATCTCTTTTCCCTACCTTCCTCCTTCTCTGTCATGTCCTTTCTCTAAATCCCTAGCATCTAGGGCTTCCCTGGTGGCACAAGGTGTTAAGTCTCAACCCTGTGAAGCTGTCCACAGCCACCGCAGCGTGAGTTCAATCCCCAGCCAGGGAGCTACCCACATGGCACAGCAGACCTCTCCTGACTCACCCGCTGCTCCCCTCAGCAGCGTATTTCAGTAAATCTGCCTGTTCTGCTCCCCACTCTGGTGAATCTTTTCACCCCCTGCACCTCTGGCCTGTACCCCATTCTTGTATACATAAATAAATAAATCTTTTTTAAAAAATAAAGGTAATCCCTACCATCTAGGATAAGCTCAGCACGCAGTAGACACTACAGGTGCACCCGGTTCCTTCTGCTGGCCTTGCGTTCCCAGACATACCCTCACAGGTGGCTTCCTTCTTCAGCCCCAATGCACCTGCGCACCAGGATCTCCCTCACCTGCCCATCCCCTCACTCTCTGATCCCATGCACTGCTGAGGTGTCTTCTTTGCCCTTAAACCACTCTTGAGCTGCTAAAGTGCTGTTGAATTATCCCAAAGATTTAAATGTTACTTCTTGTTTGTCCCTCTCTTCTGAACTTACTAATTCTATTCCATGTAAGCTAAATATGCTTATGATGTAAGTTCAGTAACATTCAAACAGCCATGTGTATTTTGGCTGGCAAAAAATAAAAGCATATATGCTATTGTCTTATTTGGGCGTTTTATTGAAAATTAATAGTTCTGTTTACAGCTCTTGGTCTTACTACAATTCTGTGTGTGAGATAGGTATTTAGAATTAAAATTAGCTTAGCTAAATCATCGCTTTTGAGTGATATCTAACTGTTCAGGTATAAGTCTTATTGCAAATGCTTAAAGGTATGCTTTTTGAGAAATGGTGTTATTTCATGTTATATAAGAGCAAACATTAAGAAATCAGGTGTCATCAGTCAAAAGCTGGTGAACACTCAAGTACTAGAAAGATTTTTTTTTTAAGATTTTTTATTTATTTATACGAGAGCTGGGTACAGGACAGAGGCACAGGAGGGTGAGAGGATTCACCAGAGACAGAGCAGGGAACAGAGCAGGCAGACTGATCGAAAACATTGCTGAGGGAAGAAGCTGGCGAGGCAGGAGAGGTCTGCCGCGCCATGTGGGTATCTCCCTGGCCGGCCAGGAATCGAACCTGCACTGCAGAGGCTGCAGACAGCTTCACAGCGCTAGATTCCCAGTACAGGCAGAGAGCTGGTACTTGCCAGGCACCTGTCTCACTCATCACTTTCTTACAGCAACCTGTTAGGCAGGTGCCACTATGAACCCTTCACCAGCCACACAGAATCCATCACCACTTAGAGCTGACTCCAGTTTGCTCTCCGAACAGCAGCTCAGGCCTTCTTTTCAAACTCAATTCATTTCTCTTTTTTGGTTTTGTTTGTTTATTTAGTTAGTTACTTTTGGTTTACATCACTGTATGTGATTGAGAGGAAGAGGTCCCACCTTCTCAGATGTGCATCACCCCCACCCCCTTATCCCCCCAGAGCATCCATATCCCTTTGTCATGGACCATGGGCCCCTCCCCACTTTGTTTCCAACCCCCACCCCCCCCACCCCCGCAGTCCTTTCTAGACTTTGTTTTGGCTTAATTCTGTCAATTCCTTCCTTTTGTTTCTCTCTATTCCACATGAGTGAAATCATCCAATGCGTGACTTTCTCCCTCCTGCTGCTTTCACTTAGCTGATATCACTGCCTCCAGGTTCCATCCATGTTTTCTCAAATGGTGGGCATTCATAATAGCTGAATAGTATTCCATCGTGATTATGTACCACATCTCAATCCACTCATCTCTGCTTAAAATTCTTGACCAGCTTTTCAGACAAAGCCTGAATGCCTGTCCATTCTTACCAGGCACAGACTGGCACCTCCTGCCGTCCACCTCCTCACACCCTCTGCTCTTGCCGCAAGGCCTCCACTTCTATCTTCAGATCTCCCAGACTCTCTTCTGAGGTCAGCTTTCCACCTGGTTAGCTCCCTCTTCCTCGGCTTCTCCTCACTGGATTGTTCTGGCCTCCCCCAGTGAGGACACATTCCCTGTGAGTGGCTTACACAGTAGTTTCTCTCTGGAGGTTGGATTAATAAGTGAACAAATTCTATTGTGTCTTAGATTATTGGGCCACTTCTTTAACTGATAATAATAATTATATAAAGGGGTTAGCTATAGCCTCAATCCTGGATATAAGCACATACAGACTGAGGTTTAGAAATTAAGATTCTGTACCATGTGAAAGACTGGTTCTTTGTTCACCTTATCCGTTCATATTTTAATCTGCTCCGACAATTGGAATATGGCCCACTGCCCCATCTACCTCTGGCTTTCTTCATGTGCCTGATAAAAAGGTGGCTGAGTTTTCGAGTTTGACAAGATGGCTTTTGTCGGAAATCTGCCCTTTTAAGTTAGGAAGACAGACCCCATCTTCTTGGTCTCTGGAAGCTGGTGTAATAGAACAAGCATACTCAAGACAACTTGGACTAAATCCTGCTGTAAACCACAATGGAAAAACTGCAGCAAAGTATTCCCTGTAGAAATCTTGGAATTCCTTCAAGTATATTGAGATTTTGTTAGAAATTGAATTGCCAGTGTAATCCATCTTCCTTGTGAGAAAACATTCAGATAAAGAGCTGGGGCCTAGCAGCATTAACCATTAGAACATCCCTTAAATCAATAAGCTACAAATCTGGCCATGCATTCCTGCAGCGCCTGGTGGCACGGAAGTGGCTTTGGGCTGCAGCAGCGTGACAGGTGGCACATCCCGCACCGGGGCAAAATGTGGGCTGCAGCAGACTCCCCAGCTGTAGTAAGCCTTACCTTGTTCAGTTCTACAAAGTGAAGTTATATTTTATTGATGTGCATAAGAAAAACACAGCCTTCCTTTTGTTTTTCAGATTTTCCAAATGTGGTCATTGAAGGCGTTCTCCATGGGATATTTTACCCTCACCTACAGCCCAGGTAGAAACCCTCGAGGACTAGAAGAAGCTGAAGTGAGTTTCCAAGTCATAGTCAAGGAAATCAATATCTACCAAATTAACCTAAACTCTTTGACATAACAACTCTAGCTAGCAGTCAAATCCACAGACCCTGCTTGTTCGGGGCAGGGATGCTTCCATTAGAATGGTGCTTTTAAAAATAGAAACCGGACCGGGGGCAGTGGTAAGGTTAGGCCAAGTGTTTGAGAAATAGGATGTAGCTGCCAATTTAGAAATGCAAGAGAAGGAAGCAAGAGAAGATCCCTGGAAGGATCATTGCAACAAAACTGCTACTCTTTGCTTCTCTTGCACCATCTGCTAATTGAAAATCTTATCCTGAATAGTACTGAGACTGATCAACTTGGTAGGACTTTTTTGTTTGGATCTTATGACACACTAATCTTTTCATCATGAGATTTTCTCAACCAGTGACAGATACGTTCTGACATGCTGGCACCGGGAGAGTATCACATGAACACTGTGCTAAATGTGAGGAAGGAACTAAACTGGAAATTAAGTTATACTGACAACTTTAGGGCATTTTTTTTATATCATGGCATTTTAATATACATTACAGTGGAGTTGTACCATACCTGGGGTGAACTTGTAATGGCAGTTCAGATGATAAAACTGGATGTTAAGTTTACCTTTGGAAACCTCTAGAAAGACACCATATTGGAAATCTGTCCATCTGCAACAAGTGTTCCTTCATCGTTGGAAGAAATGACTGTTTCTTTGCTTGAAGTTGTCGATAATTGCTTAGGGGCCATTATGTATTTAAAAATACATTTAAATACATTTAAACACTAGAATCACACTTAGCCCTATAAGAAGTTGCGTTCGAAGAGGCAGATGTCAATGGACAGTGACCAATGGACCACCAGGTGGACAACACTTTCTTCATTTATTAATGAGCATTTAATCAGTGAGGAGATGATATCATCATGGGATCTGCTGTTATTGCCTTTATTGTTTGCCTCACCTCATATATTGAATTAATGTAAGTTAAATGTGTTTATGATGTAACTCCACCATACATCATACAGTCAAATTTTGCATCGTAAAAATAAAAACATACATGTGAGAGTTGTATGTATGTGCATTTTGGGCATTTCACTCAAAACTAATTAATAGCTAGCCTTCTTATGGTTATTAGTTTTAATACCTCCTGTAAGGAACAATTATTTAGAATCAAAACTAATAACTAAATCATGGCTTTGATTAGGATCTAAGTATAGAGGCCTCAGGCCTGTTGCAAACTTTTAGAGATCCATTAATGGATACTTCTGTTACAAACAAGCAAGAACTAAATGCTCGAGTCATCAACCAAAAATAACCGAATAGTCAAAGTGTTGGAAATCTTTTTTAAATGTTTTTGTTGTTAGGTATTTTGCGCTAAATAAAAACAAAGACCAAGAAATATTTAAATTTGTGTTCTGCTTCTAGAATTTTATTAGAAACAATTTGTGTAATGACATGTCTTATGACAAGACATAATTTTATGTCCTAGCACTTTACACACACACACACAGCCTCTCGCATATTCACATAAACGTTTTAATCTGGCAAGTTAAGTGTTAAATTACATAATCTATTAAGCCAATAGATACTCACTGAAGAGTTAATGATTTACCAAGACACTTAAGAATTTTTTAAAAGTAAAACCCAGGCATCATCGGTAGCATAGTACTCAAGAAATCTGTTTTTGGCAATTAAGTATTTTGTTTAGTGATGACTCTCATTTATCTAAATTTTTGATAGGTAATTTTACCTATAAGGGTTTTTGCAAGAAATAAAAATCACTGTAGGTATTTTAAGCAGACATGTAATATGGGAAACTGAGTGCTTACTGAATCTTTGAGAGGCTGAGCGGAGTGGACCCCTGATTGGGATCCAGGTCACTCCAGCAACCCCACTACCTGCCCCACTCCCTTACACAGAAAGTCAGGGAGTTCACTGCAACACTATTCACAATAGCTAAGCTATGGGAACTACCTACATGCCCAATGATACATGAGAAGATTAAGAAGATGTGGTATAGATACATGGTAGAATGTAACTCAGCTATTAAAAAAAAAAAGATGAAACCTTGCCATTTGCAACAGCATGGATGGAACTGGAGGGCATGATGCCAAGTGAAGTAAATCCAAAGAAGAAACACCGGATGATTTCACTCATATGTGAAACAAAGCACAGTAACAGACAGGAACAACACAAAGCAAATCCCAGAAGTCTCATTGCAGAATTGGGGCTACTAGGGGGAAGAGAGACGCGAGCCAAGGGGAGAGGGGCACAGTGGACGATGATGGAAGCCTGGGATGCTTTGGTGGTGGGAGTGGCGTGTGCTAACATACATTTGTAGAAGTGTGAACCTGTACCCCTAAAACATGCCGTCTTGTAAACCAATGTTACTTCAATAAACATAATTTAAAAAAAATCAGGGTGTCAAGGGGCTGCTACTGGACCTATCAGGGTGCAAAACACTACTACCATGCTTTGCAGGTGGGAATGCAAAATGTGGACCCTCTTGGCAAATGATATAGTGATTCTTCAAAAACTTCAAACATAAGATTTAACGTATGACCTAGCAATTCCACTTCTGGATGTGTACCCAGAGGAAGTGAAAGTCGGCACTCAAAACAGGTATGTGATCACCTGTGTTCATAGCAGCATTATTCATAATAACCAAAGGGTGGAAGCCACCCAAGTGTGCATCAGTGAATGAAATGGTAAATGGGTAAACAAAAGCAAAATATGTGATGAAATACTATGCAGCTTTAAAAAAGAAAAGAAATTATGACACAAGCTACGCCATGGATAAACCAACCTTGAAGATGTTTCCACTCATACCAGTTACCCAGAACAGTCAAACTCAGAAAGTACAATGATGATTGCCTGGGACTGGGGTTGAGGAGAATGGGGAATTGGGATTTGGTGGGTTTTAACTGGGAAAGAGGAGAACTCTGAAGCTGGATGATGGTGGTGGGTGCCTAACAATGTGAATGTACTTAATGTCACCAAACTATACACCTAAAACAGTGAAAATGGTGTTTTGTATTGTGTATATTTTATCACAATACAAAAATGTAGCTTAAAAAAAGATTTTGGGTAAAGGCGCAGTGGGTAAGGGTGTAGTAACCAATTTGTGGTGTTTGCCAAGGGTTCAGGAGGAGTGTTGGCACACCTCCCAGGCTCTATGCTCATATCCTTGGCAACCTCTAAGATTTAAAGCAGTCATGCTAAACCAAAGAGATGCATCCAAATCGGCTTGATTCTGGGTCAGTTTGCGCTGGGCCCTGTGCTTGGTTGGTTAGATGGCTAGAAAAACTGCCCAGTGGATTCTGATACACCTGTGCTGGGAACCACTGTTTGAGAGAGGTGGTTTATAAGCTGCCCTCTGTAGTGAGGATTGACTTGTTTACTTCCTGCAAAAGGAAGCCACTACCAAGAGAACATTGATTCACCTCTCCAGGTACCACAGGTGACCTCAGGAGGGACTTGTCTTAGTCCATTCTGGCTGCCATAACAGAAATACCATGTACTTGGTGGCTTATAAACAACTGATGTTTATTCTTCACTGTTTCAGAGGCGGGGAAGTGCAAGATGAGGTCACTGGGACACACGGGGTCTGCTGAGGGGCCCTCTTCCCAGTCATTACATGGCAGAGCTCTATGGGGCCTCCTTTAAAAGGGCGCTAATCCCAAGTCACCCCCCCCCCCAAAAGATCCCACATCCAAGCACCATCACTCTGGGGATTAAGTTTCAGCGTGAATGTTCGGCGGGAGGATGACACAAATATTCGGACCATAACAGAATTCTTTGACAAAGCAGCAAGGATGATAGACAAATTCGAGTGGTGCTCTGGATTGACAGCCTCTGTGAGTATATATTCACCTGTGTACCTACGCAGTCAGTGAGGTGCATTTGGGGTCCTTCACTGTGTTAACAACCTAAAGAATAGAAAAATAGGGGCCTCCTTGGTGGTGCAAGGGGTTAAGCACTGCCCTATGAAGCAATTCGCAGCTTCTGCAGCATGATTCAATCCCTGACCAGGGAGGTGACCCACATGGTGCAGCAGACCTCTCCTGTCTCACCCACTGCTCCCCTCTGCAGTGTATTTCAGTCGATCCACCTGTTCTGTTCCCCACTCTGTCTCTGGTGAATTCTCTCAACCCCCACACCTCTGGCCTTTACCCCAGCTCTTGTATGCATAAATAAATAAATCTTTAAAAAAAATAGAAAAATAATTCCTTCTATTTTCTAGAGAGAGTCTCCATCAAACTGAATTCGATGCAAAGTTTAGTGATGGAAACCGCCTCCTTCAGTCTCTTGACTCAACTTTAAAGCCATCATTTTCATCGTGGCTTCGGTTTTTCATCCTGATGATAATTACAGATTCCAAATTCAGCAGCAGAAACCCAGGGAGGTACCAGCACTAACTCTAAGCTAAAACTTCCGTAACGTGTATGTTCTCTGTCCCTGCATATGCATAACAACAGCGTGGATTCTGGTGCCAGGCTAAGAGGCTTCTGTTTTGGTATGGAGGGGAGAAAGGGCCATTAAAATGCTAACTAGTTGGAATACATGTAATTTACTAGAGAAAAAATTGGTTCTATATTGAGAAAAATGTTCTCTAGTAAGGCAAAAAGGCTCTACCAAGACCCCCAGTTAGTAAGGGAATCAGGATTGGAAACATTCATCTACAAATCTTGAGCCATGACAATAGAAGCTTCTGCCACTCTTGCCAAGTTCTTTGGCATCCCTCTTGGTCCTCATCTTGCAGGCCTTTCGGTTCAAAGGACTTGCCAACCTTCACACACACACCCCTCCCCACCAGACTTCTGGGGCTGAAATACCCTTTCTGCCTCCCTTCAGAAGACCAGCTCATTCTCACATTAGATCTCTGCTTAGTGGCACCTGCTCAGTGCCCACATCTCCCAGCTCCCACTCCACACTGCTCTTCTCTCATAGCAAACGGGTCCCACCTTCCTGGTAATCATCTTGTAATTATCTTATTTATTGGCTTTCTCACCCCCAAAAGTGATCTCCCTGAGAGTAGGAGCATCAGTTGTGTATATGGATTCTCCAGCCCAGGGCTGGAAGTTGGTCTTAGAAGTTGGAGGAGATGTGGACAGCCTCCAGCCTGTGCTGTCCCAGCCCTGTGTGCCAACCACTCAAAGCAGGGCCCATGAATGTGTGCAGGGTCAGTGCTGTTGACTCAGGGTTTGCTAACGTGTCCCAGGTGCACCTAATGACTCATTACATCCAGATTATTCTGAAAATGGTCATTTTCTACCGCTCACCAACTTGAGACAGTGGCTCATGTGTTGGGTAGCTACACACTTGGGTGAGTACTTAAGTGGCCATCCTTCTTTACAAATGAATAAATAAGATAACTTGGTGACTGAAAACCATGATTTTGTGGTACCCCCAGGGCAATGGTTTTCCCAGTTTGGACGCCAACCAAGCAGCAGCAAGCAATTGTTGGAAATGCAGGTTCTCAGGCCCTGCCTCAGACTTTTGAAACCAGACACTGAGCATGGAGCCCAGAAAACTAACAAGCTCTCCAGGTGATGCTGAGGCACACAGTTTGAGAACTTCCACCCTAGGACATTTCAACTTCTGCCGTATTGCAAACTTCAAAGACATGCAAACTGCAGCAAACCAAAAATCAATGCTTCTAAGGGGAACAGCACAATATCAAGCAATGCCAGGATGGCTCTCCAAAAGGCTCGTGATACCTTCAAGACAACCATCCAGCCCGTCAGCAACTCAGCAAAATGAGTAAGGTATGTCAGCTGTAGTAACTATAAGGGCTGTCGTGCACTAGGCATTGTTTCTCTTGAACTTTTACATCTGGCTACTGGGGACATTTTTCTTCCTCACATGGTGTCTCTAAATCTTTGGTCTGTTTTTATTATTTATTTATTTTTTAAAGATTTAATTATTTATGCATACAAGAGCTGGGGTACAGGCCAGAGAGGCGAGGGGTGAGAGGATTCACCAGAGACAGAGTGGGGAACAGAACAGGCAGATTGACCGAAGTACACTGCTGAGGGGAGCAGTGGGCAAGTCAGGAGAGGTCGGCAGCACCATGTGGGTAGCTCCCTGGCCGGCCGGGAATCAAAATTGTGCTGCAGAGGCTGAGGATAACTTCACAGTGCAGTGCTTATCCCCTTGCGCCACCAGGGAGGCCCCGGTCTGTTTTTAGATTTGAATGAAGTAAACTAGAATCATAGCTTTCATGCACCTCACAGAGTAACAATTTTAGATGTATAGCTACGCCCCACATTTGTGATTAGGAAGTAGGTTTAAGTGCCATGAAGGAAAAGAAAAGTTTACTTAGGCGGGGACAACACGTGATTTAGATTTGGGCAGGTCAGGAAACTTCTCTAAGGCTGACATTGAAGTTGAAACCTAAAGGATGTTGAAGGAATTTGCCAGGCAAGGAATGGGAAGAGAAGGGAAGTGATGAACAGATATCAGCAGATTCCAAAGCCCCAAATCAGAAGAGAGCTCCACTCACTGTCTGGAAGCAATCAGTGCATTTGCAGGAGACTTTGGGGCGGGGCAGGATCCCACAGGGCCCTGCCCTGGAGGCCATGCTCATGGGCTTAGCTGCTTGCCATGGGACACCTTTAGTTTCACACAGGAGGGATAGGATCTGGTGTATTTTATTCAGCTTTGCTAAGGTATGGCAACAAATACCAGGTTTTTTACATCCATTTGTTAGGTATAACATGTATTAAAACATGACTTTATAAACCTCCCTGACAGCTCCCAGGCAGCAGCCAACAGTAGAGTTTAGGATAATGTCTGTGACGGATCACACTTGGTCTGATTTCATTTTCCGAGATCTGCCTGGCTGCGTGTAGCAAATGGACCACACGTGTACAGGTTCTGAGGCAGGATCTGGGTGAGAAATGACTTTCTGGTTTAGGATGGTGCCGCGGACCAGCACAGCAGTGGACGATGAGGCCACCTCAGGGTTGAGAGAAGCGTGCAGGGTGGTCAGGGCGTCGGTGAAAGAAATGACAAACAGACACACTTCAAGAGTGAAAATCTGAGTGTAATTTTCTTTGAGTTTGTGACCAGTATATATATGTTTTCCAAAAGCACAGGGACAACGAATATCAATGAAATCAGCTTGCTCATGGGCTCAGCCTATCACCATCAGGGAGGTGACCTACATAACAAGCAATGACTTTTATAGAAGAAAGAAGGAAGTTTAGAAAGACAATAAGGGATTAAAGTTTGTAGTTCTAGAAAGAGGGGATAAGATTTTTAGCATTCTTGTAGTGGTTCCTGGTGGTCGTTATCTTTTGATAAGCTTCTGTCTTTTCAGGGAACTTCCACTGTACTTCCTCTGCTTCAGGGTGTTATGCTGTTCTCCCCCTGCGCGCTGGTTGCCCAGCCGGACCTAGGGACGTGGCGAAAGCCATTCCTAAAGGTCA